ACAGTACCTAGTCCCAACCAGACTGGTTAAAATTTCAGCAACTAACTCCACTTTGTTAAAGATATCTATCCCATGAAGGCTCTATGCTACATATTTGGTGGAAGTGTCCAAGAATAACTACATTTTGGAACTCGATATACTCCAGTATGTTCGTTTTTAATATAAATCTAAGGAAATCCCCAGAAACAGGACTTTTACATCTCAACTGGGGTAAACGTTCAAAAAAATCATCAAATATTGACCCTTTATTATCTTATGTCCTCTAAAATAACTATTACGAGACTATGGAAACATATTTCAACGCCAGATTTTACCCAATACAGAAAACTTATTTTCCAACTTGAAATGGAAAGGGGAGTTTCCTATGCAAATAATAATTTATGCCATCTTTACAATTATTATCAATGGATCAATAAAATAAGGGAATTTTTAAAATTCTAATCTCATAACAGTCTAAATCCATTAACCTTTATATAAGGGTTGACCTGAGATTCTCACTAAATCATACCACATGTACTTAACCTTTGTACTGTAATGTCCATGTGTATTGTCTGAGATTCACACTAAATTATATCACGTACTTAACCTTTGTACTGTAATGTCAAATGTATATTATCTGTTTTTTAATATGTGTGTGTCTAATACAAAATATAATAAAAAGATTAAACATTAAAAACTGATTTAAGGAGCTTGACAGTGGTATTAAGTTTATAGCACTGCCACTTTACTATTATTTTCTGTATTTGGCCCAGACCATGACACTCCCACCATCATGCTTGACTGTAGGCAAGACACACTTGTCTTTGTACTCCTCACCTGGTTACCGCCACACACACTTGACACCATCTGAACCAAAGAAGTTTATCTTGGTCTCATCGGACCAAAGGACATGGTTCCAGTAATCCATGTCCTTAGTCTGCTTTTCTTCAGAAAACTGTTTGTGGGCTTTCTTGTGCATCATCTTTAGAAGAGACTTCCTTATGACAGCCATGCAGAGCAATTTGATGCAGTGTGTGGCATATGATCTGAGCACTGACAGGCTGACCCCCCACCCCTTCAACCTCTGCCGCAATGGATATGACGCTGAGCATGTGCACTCAACTTCTTTGGTCGACAATGGCGAGGCCTGTTCTGAGTGGAACCTGTCCTGTGAAACTGCTGTATGGTCTTGCCCACCATGCCTCTGCTCAGTTTCAGGTTATTGCTAATCCCCTTTAACGTAGGCCATCTTTATGTAGAGAAACTCTTGTTTTCAGATCCTCAGAAAGTTCTTTGCCATGAGGTGCCATGTTGAACTTCCAGTGACCAGTATGAGAGAGTGTGAGAGCGATAACACCAAATTGAACACACCTGCTCCCCATTCACACCTGAGACCTTGTAACACTAACGAGTCACATGACACCGGGGAGGGAAAATGTCTAATTGGGTATGTATCATGAAGAGCAGGGGATCGTGAAAAAATACTGCTGAACCACGATCCCCTGCTCTTCATGATATGGGTATGTATGGGTACATACCCATATCATGAAGAGAGAGCAGGGGATCGTGGAAAAATACTGCTGAACCGAGAAGCATTCTGGATCTTTGAACTCGATACTGTGTCACCCAAGGGACTTGGGTCTATGCCCAGGAATTTCAAGGAAGTTAACGGATGCGTATGTTGCAGGAAGTGTTTAGCCACTGGTTTGTCAGACGTTCCATCCCTATAGGCTAATCTAATACTGGAATGGTGGCCCCTGATTCTTTCACATAGGGCAGTTTCGGTTTTACCGACATAAATCACAAAGAGAAGGGGATCGTGGAAAAATACTGCTGAACCGAGAAGCATTCTGGATCTTTGAACTCGATACTGTGTCACCCAAGGGATTTAATGAAACCATTTCTTTTCATTCCTTTCTATTAATTTTAGCTCCAGCTTTGCTTTATTTTATTTTATTTTACTTTAAATGTCCTTATTACTAAGCCACTTTTGATGGCAACAATATTTAATTATTACCTTTAATATACTAGAGTTGATATTTTACGGTAACAGGCTTATACTAAAATTGATTAATTTATAATTGCATACCATTATGTGGTTGCCTTGTTATAATCCTTCGTTTTCAGCACCTCTATTTAAGGATACTTTCACTAAGGATTGATAAATTCATTACACTATATTGTAATCTTTATATGAATTATGTATTATAGCACAGTTCACTTTTTGTAAATATCTTATTGTAGTCACTATACATATATACATGAGGTTTATTCTATCATACAAATGTCAATCCATATATTTGGGTCTTTTACCACTTTCATATTGACACTGTTTGCACTTTATTTGTTAGCACCAAGCGCTTTATAAAAAAATTTTTTACCCAATATATGCACTTTAATGGCAAAAGTACAACTAGGTACTATCACTTTTAAACATGCACATTGTCACTTTAAATGATTAACTAGTCATTTTTACCAAGAGAGAGTTTATAACTTGACACCATGGTCACTAAATAATTTACTATATATGATCTATCACCAAGCACATTGTACTCAATAAGCACTTTATCCTTATTCTATATTACTTGTTTGATTCTCAGAACGAGCAGATATACACTGCACACAGCTAATGTAACTGCTACTCTATCTCCATAGTGAAGCCGTGTGTGCTGCGTCGCCATAGCAACGAACGCGATGACGGCACGTCGCAACGTCACGTGGGGTGGAGTTTCACTACACATGCGCACTGGCCACACTAGAACGCCGATCTGAGTTGCACCTCACCTGGGGGTAAGCTAATTTTATTAATGTGTTTGCCTATTTATGTCTTATGTCTGTTTTTTGATTCTGTAAGTGTATTGATCCTGAAGAAAGTCCCATACAGAGGACTGAAACGTTGATTTTTTAACATGAAAAAATAAAGATTAGAACTTTTAATTCTGCCACCTTTTTGGATTTCTGGATAACTAAGCCCTGGCTTAGCACCTGGCAAACAAGGGACTATTATAGCGTGAGTGCAAGAGATCTTTCCTTTCTCTTTTATATAGATGTGACGAGACCAATCTCGCCACTGTGCATTGGAGGACCCTGGTTGCCTGCCTGCTGCCTTTTGACTATGGACCGGCATTTAAATACTTTATTTTCCTATGCAGAAAGGTCTATTCATGTATTTCTGCCCGGGCGTTCGGTAGATTCTATCTACTGAACAAACAGCCATCTATTGGCCTCCCAGGAGCCGCAGTTAGCTGGCAGGTGCCGTTAATTGTCCGCCCAGAAGCCGGCTAGCACCAATTGACCACCCAGTAGATGCGGTTAACTGACTATACCGGGTGGCCGCGGCTACGCATACTGAACACTGTATGGCAGCAGTCTGCAGTTCACACTCGGCCGGTTCATTCACGGATTTACTGAATGAACGTATTTAACCCAGATAGCTATGCCATGGAGCCTATTCGTGTAATAAAAGACTTTGGCTCCATGGCAATTGAACTGTATGTGTGTGGTCTGAGCGCCATTCAGTAATAATGTGCGCTCAGACCTAAGCTATCTGGGGAAATGTTTCATGTCTGTATTCTATGTAATAAATGTAACATTGTGTATTTTATTGTATTTTACTGTCTTTTTACTGCCATGTGCTTAATGGAGTTTTGCCTCTGTCCTTGGAGATAGTTGGATTACTTCCCAATTATCTCCAAAATAGAGAGGAGGGATTGTGATGTCATTGTGGGAGTGTTTATCTGTGTTGTATGTTTTGATTGGAAGTTCCACAAAACCCTGTGGGTGGGACTTTGTCTGTAAAAGGTGTATATAAGGCCAATAAAGACACAGCTCAGGTGTTCACTGCTTGACCCTCAACACAGAGCTTTGTCTCATTATTGGGGGGATTTACTGTATGCTGTTAGAGACTGATTGCCAGGAGTGTAAGCCGCTTGGGTGCTTTTCCTGTTCAGCTGCTTGCAGCTATTCGTGAGGTTCCAGTTCAGGAGTTTGGAGTGCTACTTTGTATCCTGTTCAGAAGTTTGGGGTTCTGTGGTAGCTGTGCCTGTGTCTCAGGAAGGGGAAAATCTTCTAAACGGTGGTTTAACCCCTTTTATGCCTGGGGGGTGCCGTTACAATATATAAATACTAATAGAGTTGTGGTGGGAAAAAGAGATGATAACCACTTCCACCTGAAGTAAGTGGATAGTTAATACATTGCTAAACACAAATACACACACCAGTCAAGCCATAAGATTTGCTTTTCCCACAGAAATCTCACTTTAACAGTGCTCTCACTACTGCAAGGGATTCTGGGTATGCGTATGCAAATGAGTTCAACAAAGAATCTAATTTTTGCCTCATAATTCCACGTTATACATGTATTCCTTGGAGTATGTGTCTGCTGTATACAACAGCTTTGAAACACAACTCAGGAAGAGGAGCAAAAGCCAGTGAACAACTCATCTGCATTGTTCCCGAGCCTCTCATACTAATACACATATAGAGTGACCCATATAATCATTTTGACACCCACACAGAATGATCCATACAAACATTCTGACACACACACTCACTGACATACACTATACTCTCATTTACATTGTCCCTTACAACTTAGGTTGGAGGCCTCATTGCATGGGGACAGGTCCTGTGATGTCCCTCCCCCAACTTGTCCTCCATTGTTTGTGTGCCTTTACCACTGAGATATGAAATCATTATGTGTCCTGGGTCCTTTAACTTTTAAAGAATCGCAGGGAGTGACTGGCTTTAGTTTCTCATTACATCTCCCTAGGTTTCAAAAGGAAGCAGTTGACCCTAGAGTGAAGCAGACATTGGTTTAAAAATTGCTTCACTGGCCATGGAATCGAGGGGACAGGACTGTGGGATGGTTGGTAAAAAGTCTTAAAACATTCTAGTGTATGATTTGCTACAGCTTTGGATAAATGTAAAATCTGGTTGGAACGATCGTGACTGTTATATCTTCTTAATTTCTTCTTGTCTTCAGTTGATTGATATATATACGTCTTTTGTATATGTAGTCCTGGGCCAAATGCTCGCCACAATAATATATGTCTATATTATTGAAAAGTACTAATACGCAATCTGACTTACGGTTTCTTCAGGTTTATTCTTAGTTACAGATACATAATAAAACAACAAAGGATGTTACAGGATAATGAATGTTTCAACAGCAGATGGTAATTGCTGGACTTCTTTACATTCTTACATCTTTACATCGAGAGAGAGCCAGAGAGAGCACAGAGCCAAGATCGAGAGAGACCTCGTGTCCCTCTGTTACTATAAAGATGTGCTAATACTAACGTCAGCATTTAACTCTAGCCATATAAGGACAAAACCCCCACATCCACATTCCAGAGCTCTCGGACAAAGAAAGCCTTGTGACTTATACCATCTGTTACTTATGTCAATCCACACATCCATATATAATCAATAGAAACATAGAATATGCAATATTCTACATTCCCTCTGTTTATGGTTTGTTTTAAAACCATAACACAATGTCACTAACCTGTCCATTCATACATCACTTGTATCACAGTCAATGAGCATAGAACAAGATGTAGTCACAACTTTCTATTAGTTCTTAGAAGGTCAAGTTTCTATCCCTCATACTGCTTACTTTACTTCAAACTCCCTCTGTTTCAGCTATATCCATGTTACATCTTAACTACTTGAACATAATATATACATATTACAATCATAAATGCATAAAATATTTACAAATGTTGATCCAATAAACAATAAAGCAATCAGAAAGATCTACCTGCTCTGGTACAGTCATATCTTTGTAGATAACAAAATCAAGATGACAACTTTCTAAATAATAATAACTGTGTTTCACTATCATATTCCTACAGACACATATAACACAGTATTTTAATTCTCAATAACTGATATTACTTAAGTACTAATACATGTATTACTATAATATCCTGTCCAATTATATTTCCATGAATCATATGGTTTCTAGCAACCTTAAAATCTTTAGGTCATTTGTATTCATGAATTACCTTCCTATACCATTAATACCACCTAGTGATGATTGTATCAGTATTTTACAATCATAGTATTTAATTTGTATATTCAGTAGGCTCTAACTACCTGAAATATATCAACACTACTTATAAGACTCATTCAAAGGATGTGTTATCAACCATGCAGTTCTACAATGATTCTTCAAATAATGTTCATGGTGTTGATAATACTTATTGTCCTAGAAATTCTCCACCCAGAAATCTTTCTATCATAGATTTGTTTTTGTTTACATAATTATGATTTGGGCTAAAATTCCACCTTGTAGTAACAAACTTTTCATTCAATCTGAGAATGGTTTACTTTAAAAGAACTTGGAAAGAATACTTTAAATTCATTAGCATCACTCTCTTCATTAGCATTGTGATGGCTTATTAATGTAATACATCTTAAAAGCAGGATTGTCCTAATGTTCTGACGAATCCGTATTCCTTAGTACACTTCAACTGACTAAAATAAAATAAACAAAACTTGGGGTCATACTGCCCAGAAACTCTTATTCCTAGTCTGTGTCTAACAAACTCAGGGAAATCATAAAACAACTTAACAACGTATTCAATTCATTGGATACCATCATATCCAGAAACCTATTCTCCCTAGTCCATACCTTTTATAGACTTAGGTCAAATAAAATTGTGTACTATACTCCTTCAATTCAATTCCTCTTGGATCTCTGAACTCTTATATCTAAGGCATTCTTAATGTATACAATTACTTAATATTAATCAATATAAATTATCCTTCCTTAGTTTTCTTCCTTTTGTTACCATTGTTTGTTTTACTCCACCTCGATATAAACAAATTACTTATTCTAATGAATCTATGAAATACTATTGAACTCAATCTTTGTAGAATTAAGTATACATGATCCTTATTTTATCAACTTAATATTTTATCTACTTCAGATACTTCTCATCCTATGTATAGGTAATAATGTAATAGTTCTCTTCATAATTTTACTGTATGTGTTACACATTTAGAAGTACTCTCTTTTGATATTAAAGGACCACTATAGTGCCAGGAAAACATACTAGTTTTCCAGGCACTATAGTGCCCTGAGGGTGCCCCCACCCTCAGGCACCCCCTCCCGCCGGGCTGGATGGCAAGGAAAGGGGTTAAACTTACCTTTTTTCCAGCGCCGGGTCGGGAGCTCTCCTCCTTCTCTCCTCCCCTTCGGCTGAATGCGCATGCGCGGCCGCAGCTGCGCGCGCATTCAGCCGGTCTCATAGGAAAGCATTCACAATGCTTTCCTATGGACGCTGGCGTCTTCTCACCGTGATTTTCACAGTGAGAAGCACGCAAACGCCTCTAGCGGCTGTCAATGTGACAGCCACTAGAGGATTTGGAGGCTGGATTAACCCATTTATAAACATAGCAGTTTCTCTGAAACTGCTATGTTTATTTAAAAAAGGGTTAACCCTAGCTGGACCTGACACCCAGACCACTTCATTAAGCTGAAGTGGTCTGGGTGCCTAGAGTGGTCCTTTAATACACTCATAAACTGTTATATAACTTTTCATTGTCTGTTTTCTTTTCCATTAATATTTAGGAATTAATAAGAATGTTAGTGTCAATCTTTTATTTCTTTGTAAGTCTGTTAATCTTCTGTATCGAATGAACTCCGTAGAATCTTCCATCACAGTTTGCAGATCAGATGAAAAGTCTCTTTCCAACAGTCGATGTCCAGTTGTCTGAAGGAATGCTTTCCTGATTTTTGCCACAAGGATCTGTCACGCTTTACCTACATTAAAACAAAAAAACATGTGCAGCATCAATACAATGGCTTACAATGTTTAACATTGAATTTTATTGACTACACAACATTCTCATTTCTTCTCATGAGATCTACCATCTAGTGGTCATTACATTTATGCCATGTGATGTATAATCTTTAAATTTCCTTTATATTAAAATCTTTCTGAACATTTTAAATTTCCAAACTTTTTATTAATCATACCCCCTTTTAAACTGTTTAATAATCTGGAGGTATAACCTAATCACATGTCAGATGTTACAACAAAATATTGTTTTCCACTATAGTTTAGCAATAGCAGCCATCTTGTCACTGGCACCATTTTTGTCACATGAAACAAACTACAAAAAAACATCTATTGTTTCCTACATCAAATGTATTTGTAAATCTAGGTTTTATTCTATCAAAACTTTTGTCTTCTATGTAGTCAAAACATATGTATGTCCAGGATTTGCAAAATATAGTAATCCATTATCAGTCATGATATTAAAATCTCACTCTCATGAATTAAATCAAAGATTGTAAATTAACCTCAGAAGTAACAAGGAATATTCATTGTTTTTTTTTTTTCCTTCTGTAAAATGAGTTACTGTATAATCGCATACACCCAATATAACATACATTGCATGTTCCTAACTGCTTCATTAGTGTATTTCATTCTGCCATATTTGCAAACTTGATGTAAATTTTTATTTTAATTAATTAACCTAATACTTTCTTACAACACACATAAAAACAATGAAAAAACAGTTCAGACTAACAATTCATTAAAACAACAAACTCACATAGATCTCTTTTCTTGTGTGCTGTTCTTAATTCTGGAATCAGCCTGTGTACATCTGTTGGCACACATATCCATGCTCATTCCCTAAACTGATCATATCTCTTGAAGTTATCTGATTCTTATAACTTTCTGTGTTACACTGCATTGCTTGTCTGTCTCCTAATTTCGATTTAGCTAAAATTGCTCTTATTTGTCTGATTATCAGTTTACAAGGAAAGGCTTTAATTGATTTATCTCCACATGTATTTTCTCTGTCAAAATTTTCAATCAACAAATTTAATTTCTCATTTGCTTTTGATTTGATATATCGGATAAAATATCTGCAAGACCTTAAATAATGTTGTTTACTGCACCAAAAACAAATAACTTTAGGAGTTATATTCTGCCTTTGATTAATTGTGCAGTTTCTAGTACAAAAAATTTGTGAGTGGCTCAGCTGTCTGTATCACTCTTTTACATTGAGTCCTAGAAAAAGGAGGAGGGGGACGAGGGGTGTCAAATCTTCACTTCTTTCTCTGCCTAATTCCACAAGTCATTTTAACCCCTTCATTATTGGTTTCTCTCAAGTTATCTAAGAATAAAGCAACGTCATTTAGGCTGTATTTATCCAAATTTGACTCAAACATTTCAGCATTAGTAAATGCATCCACTGACGTGTCATACACTGGAATACATTTCACAATTTTCATTAATTGTTCATGTATTTTCAAATTAAGTTTTGCAGCACTGTCTTGAAATTTGCATTTCTGCAAATCACTCTGTGAGGATACATTTTCAGTATCTATTGGTTCTGGGATTAAATTCTGTGCCTGTATTTTTCTTGTATTAACACACATTTGCTTAACTTCATTTCTAAGCTGGCAAAAAAGATTGTTTATTAATTCAACTCTATCCTCTAGTTCACAGACTGTTTCTGACTATTTACAGCATGTGCTCTCTGTTACTTTGTTACACTGTTCATTTAAATCTGATTTGTCTTCTGTTAACCCATACAAATCTACTTCTTTATCTGCTGATTCTAAATTTTCTTGACCTGCATCTTGTTTACAAATCAATACATTGTAAGTACAGACAAGTTTCATAAAATTTTGGATCTTTTGTTTTTTCTTATTAACAAACAATTTCTTGTCAATTTCACTATTGGCAATTTCACATTGTGTGTATAAAGATTGCCACAATACAGCATCTGAATAGCTGCTATTACATGCAAACTGCAATTTACTTTTCTCTGCAATATCATTTATGAATTCCATGTTACTCACCAGATCAGTTATTTCTGTCTATTTCGTTGCTTCATCCACACAGCTGCGCAGTTCTGGGCTTGGATCTGGATGATTGCCAATCTCTGCCACGTGCTTGCTTCTAGAATTCATGTTGGATCTTGTGCTTTTTGTCTCAGTTGTAGAAAATAGTCTTGTACAGTCTTTGTGATTTGAAAACTTTCTTTTTCTTACAAACCACAGTTCTTTTATGATAGTCAGTCTAGATTCTTTTTTTCTCTTCAAGTTTGTTTTCCCAGTTCCAAAATAGCTTTGTAACTTGATTCTTCTCTCTCCCCCCCTTGAAGGGGGAACAAAACTTGAATAGAAGACTGGCTGGCTGGCTGGCCAATGTAAAATCTGGTTGGAACGATCGTCACTATTAAATCTTCTTAATTTCTTCTTGTCTTCAGTTGATTGATATATATATACATCTTTTGTATATATAGTCTTGGGCCAAATGCTCGCCACAATAATATATGTCTATATTATTGAAAAGTACTAATACGCAATCTGACTTACGGTTTCTTCAGGTTTATTCTTAGTTACAGATACATAATAAAACAACAAAGGATGTTACTGGATAATGAATGTTTCAACAGCAGATGGTAATTGCTGGACTTCCTTACATTCTTACATTTTTACATCGAGAGAGCCAGAGAGAGCCCAGAGCCAAGAGCCAAGACCGAGAGAGACCTCGTGTCCCTCTGTAGTAAAGATGATCTTATAAAGATGTGCTAATACAAACGTCAGCGTTTATTATCACGTTTATTCTACAATAAATGCCAAATGTGATATAATCAAGTCATAGGCATTGTGACATTTATTTTTGATTTATATAAATTTTTATTTTTCAATTTAAAATTTCATCCATATACACACTTTCAAAGAAAAATAGGTTTTAAAATATTACAGTAAGTTAAGTATTATACACATTGTTAATAAAACCATATTTGGTACATTTATACGCTGACTACAATCAAAATCAATAGATTACATACATTGACCTCTTTCTTACACTTCCACATAAAGCTGCTTCGTTACCTAAGAGAGGTTGTCATTAGAGGGAGGAGGGTTTTAGGTTTTAAGACTAAGATATCTATTCCAAGGGGCCCAAATCTCCTCATATTTCTCTTTGGATACTTTATTTATTGCTATACCTGCTTCCATCCTGCATTGATAATCCACTTGTACACAAATATCTTGCCAAACTAACGGGCCCATATTTCTCCAATTTCTAGCCATAACTAGTTTGATTGCCATAAAGATGTGGCTCATAAGAATTTTTAATTTTATATTGACCCTTGGCATGTCTAAATGAAACAGGAACATTTGAGCTGTAATAACAGTTTGTACCTTCAAAATAAGATTTACCAGATCCGATAGAGTTACTTTCATAGGTTTCAACTCATCACAGTCCCACCATATGTGAGAGAATGAGCCTAATTCCCTGCCACATCTCCAACAGTCTGGTAGAAGTGTGGGTTGAAATTTATGCAGACGAGTGGGCACCAGATACCATCGGTATACAAGTTTAAAATACACTTCCCGTATATTTACCCCACGAATATATCTTTTTACTAATTGTAGGCCCAAAAGCCAATCTTCAACCGGAAAAGAAAAATGGAGTTCTTGCTCCCATTTATTCATTGCTAACGCTTTATCTATTTGCCTTTGGCTTCTTATAAATTGGTTAAATCTGGAGGCAATTTTTTTCCTATAATGGGATGCTATAAACTGGTCAATTTGAGAGGTTTCCAAAAAAGTTTTTCCTATGATAAAAGATTTTATTCTTAAATAATTGAATATTTCTTTAGAAGGGAGGTTATATTTGAGCTGTAACATTGGAAATGACAATATTTTATTATCATCTAATAATTCCGCAAATTTTGCAATTCCGCACTTTTCCCATTCTTAAATATTTATATCTTTTATATAAAGTTTTAAGCATGTTAATGGGGCATTTCTTGATATATGCTTAGTACCATATTTTTTCTTTAAATATTTTACTATATAGATCATTGTGTTATTTATCGGATTGTTAGATTTTATGTTTTTTTACAAATTCACATAAGAAATAGAGGTTCGATATTACCAAAATCCGATTCTTCAATATCTAACCAAGTTGGTCTTGATATTGTAAAGTTATCGCACTTAATTAAATGTACTACCATATTAATCATATATAATTTCTGTACGTCCGGAAAAGAAACTCCCCCCTCCTTCCAATCTCTCTGTAAATTTCCAATGACACTCTAGGTCGCCTGCCCTGCCATATATAATCTGATATTAGTTTTTGAAGACCGCGTAACGTCTGGGATGACACCCTCAGCGGGAGATTACCAAATAAAAATGTCAGTTTAGGGAGTAGGTAGGAGTTTACTGCTTCGATTCTTCCCAACCAAGACAGTTCTAACCATCTCCAATTTTTTAGGATACTCCTGAATTGTGTAGCAATTTCTGTATAATTAAGTTCTCCAATTTCTCTGTACTCCAAAGATAATCTTACCTCTAAATACTTTATATTCCTGGCTTCCTAGTCGCATTTAAATTCCTTCTTAAGCTTTTTTTCCCCGGGCCCAACTAAACCTTTTGTCAGAATTTGTGTTTTACTTTATAGCCGGAGATTTTGCTATATTCTTTAATAAGACGAAATACAGCTGGAATAGATCTAATAGGATCCATAAGAGTCAATAGAACATCATCTGCATAAAGTGCAATTTTATTCTCCAATGTGTTCACCTTTAACCCACTGATACCCTTGCTCTGTCTGATCGCGGCTGCCAATGGCTCTATGGAGAGGATATATAACAGGGGTGCCAAAGGGCAACCCTGTCGCGTCCCATTTCTAATTGGGAACCATTTTGATTGAAACATAAATCCTGAAACTCTGGCTTGGGGATCTGTATATAATGCCATTGTACACTCCTTAAAAACACCATCTATGCCAAAGGCCTTCAAAACCTCTTCCATGTGTTTCCAATTGACACGGTCGAAGTCCTTCTCGGCATCAAGGGTGACCAAAGCAAAAGGGGACGAGCTTTGACTTGCATGATATAGAACATTCATTAATTTCCTGATGTTATCAGACGTACCCCTACCTTCTACAAACCCACTCTGATCTAAATGTACAATATCTGGTATACTTCGTTTAAGTCTATCAGCCAAAATTCTAGAGTACACTTTAATGTCTAAATTAATAAGAGAAATTGGTCAATAATTTAAGTGTATATTTGGCCCTTATCTGGTTTAGGGATTGGCATTATAGAGGCCTGGAGCATTTCTGATGGAATAACTTTATGAGTGGTGAATTCGTTGAATGTCTTCAATATGTATGGGGAAATTATATCATTTAATTTTTTATAAAATATCGATGAAAAGCCGTCTGGTCCTGGGGCTTTGCCCGCTGTTAATGCTTTAATGGTATTGCTAATCTCCTGAATGGAGAATGGGGCATTTAGCTGACTTAATTTCTCAATAGATATTTTTGGCAGGCTTAATTTGTCCAGGAACTGCTGTATTTCCCCTTTGGACGGCTCATTAAGTTTTAAATTGTATAAACTTTTATAATATTCTTCAAATGCGTTAGCTATTTGAGTTGGCGAAAAAAGTTTTTTATTTCCAGCTACTATAAATTTTATACATTGAAGTTTATTTTTATTTTTTAATTTATTTGAAAGATTTTTCCCTGTTTTATTGTTTCCATAATACCATCCCTGCTTTAATATTAACATTGCTTTATTTATTTTCTCTTGAGTTCTTACTATGATTTTTTATCTAATCTCCTTAATATCCTCCAAAATTTTATAATCTGAAGTAATCTTATGAAGACGTCCCAATTTTACCAAATCGATATTAAGCTCATTCAACTCTCTTCCCTTCTTTTTTTTTTATATGCACCCAATTTTATAAGACATCCTCTCATATATGATTTAAAAGTACACCACAACATAGCATTTGAAACATCCCCAGTATCATTACTTTCGAAAAACTCTCTTGCCTGAGTACGCATTTCTTCTGTATTAATTTCCGATTTTAATAAAGTTTCATTTAATCTCCATCTATCTCTGCATTTATATTCGGCATTATTTTTTATAACTAAGCATACTGGTGCATGGTCAGACCATATTATAGGTCCAATTATAACTTTGCTGACTCGATCCAAAGTATCAGCCCTAACCAGAAAATAATCGATTCTAGTATATGACTGATGAACGTTTGAATAAAACTTATAATCTCGCTCTTCTGGATTTAATGTTCTCCAGCAGTCATACAAACAGTAGAGATGTCGCGAACCGTTCGCGAACTTCACGCGAACGGCTTGCCGCGGTTTGCCACGAACCGTTCGCGGTGAGCTCCGGTCAGCTGACAGATCTCGGCCAATCTCCAGCAGACCCTCCCTCCCAGACCCTCCCACCTCCTGGACAGCATCCATGTTGAAGGCAGCTTCAACATGGATGCTGGCCAGGAGGTGGGAGGGTCTGGGAGGGAGGGTCTGCTGGAGATCGGCCGGGATGTGTCAGCTGACCGGAGCTCGCTGCGAACTGTGGCGAGCCGTTCGCGGAAGTTTGCGAACGGTTCGCGACATCACTAACAAACAGTTCTTTGCTAGTAAGGTCTGCATCATTGATGATCCTATTTTTTGACTATCATCTTTATTTACGGGCTTAATTCTGTTCCTATCTACCTTAGTATCTATAATGCAGTTAAAATCCCCTCTAATAATCAAGCTTCCAGACGATAAGCGGTCAACCTTTTGCAATAAACTTTCCAAAAATCTATGTGGAAGTTGGTTTGGAGCATATACATTTACCAAAGTATACAATATGTCATTAATTCGAGCTATTACTATTAGAAACCTGCCACCAAGATCAACCTCCTTGTAGACAAACTCATACTTCAAGCTACTTGAGAAGAAAATTGCTACTCCTCTTTTCTTATTTTTTCCAGTCAAATTAGATCTATGGACCACTGGAAATTTTTTATAATTCCACAGCTTAGATGTAGAGTTAACCCAATGTGTTTCCTGGACAAAACCAATATCCGTTTTGCTGTCCATCAGTAATTTATACAAATAACCTCTTTTTTGTCCTGAGTTTAAACCCCTTGCATTAATAGATAATATATTAAGTGACATCTTGCCATTGCTCCCCCCGCTCCTTCCTCCCCTCTGACCACCTCTCAAATAGCAACCAACACACAAGTCCACTCATACCATCCCCATTCGGCCATATAATGTCTAGCCTCCTGAGTAAGCTCCACATCACACAGTCTACTTGAACATTCATTCCATTATACGAAGAACTTCTAAATAAAGTCTTCATATTTAAACCTGCTGCCGTCGCAGGATCCCGAACCAGGATAGTGGGCCTTGTTTTCCTTTTATCAAAGACGCTACAATGCTGTTTTTCAAAAATACAGTTTTAACCCCACAGCCTATCTACTGATTTTTCCCTGATTATACCATTATACAGTTAACTAAGTTTATCTGAAACAACTTCATCTAAAATTTTTGTTATTATATCCCAAAATTTTCTCATTTAGCTTTCTCACCTCATAGAAATTCCTGTTTTCTCCTCTAAGTCAATTCTTCCTTCTTTTTTTTTCTTTTTTTCTCCTTTACCTTCCTTTTTCTAATAATGTGACAACCTATTTCATATTAATTTAAGTGATATATATATTTTTAAGTATATTCCCCTTTTCCCT